CCACAGCACTGTGCTGTGGCCTCTCTCCCAATCTCTGACACCATCTGCCAGAATTTATACCTAAAAGTAAAGTGCTAGGAAAAGGTTTCTACAGTGTCCTGTGGTTGGAGGTATGCTACATATGGAGGCTCCACTCTACCTCCTCCTCCTTCTGAGAATGGAGGTATCTCTATTTCCCAGTCACATAGGTCTCAACTCAGGAAAACAGAAATTTGAGAGGTCTGACCGCAGGATTAGATAAAGTTCACAGTGGTTCAAGGGTGAAATCCTAGCCCTAGTGACATCAACAGAAAAACTCTCACTGACTTAAGGGCCAAGATTTCAGCCCATATCCCAGACTAAAGTGTTTTTTAAGCTGATGATATTCAGACTCTGATCCTGTAGGAGATTTACACACCTTTCATTTCACATACTGAACAGTTCATATTCAACTGAACCATTAATATCAAGTAAAGTGATGCTTGTCAGTAACTTTTAGTGAGACCCAGTCTCTGACTGTAAACACAACCCTAAGATTTCTACACTAGTGAAAGGTTTCAAACAACACAAAAGCAATTCCAGGGTTGCTTGCTTTGTTTTTTTTTTCTTTTTACTTACTTTTGTCTGATCATCAGCTTTAAATACATAGCAGATACTTTGCTGATTTGCTGCTCCATCCTTTATCAGACAAGCAAAGTAGCTTGGATCATGGCTGTTGTGAATCAGTTTGTGGACATGCTGTGGCTTGTATTCAAACAAACTTGAATAAATCAAAGGATCCCACTGCTGGATTTTCCCGGTGTCTGGTTCACATCGCAAACTCGCTGGTGAAATGTAAAGTCGGATTTGGCTGAGGCTAGGTTCTTCTTTGGAAGACTTTGTACTGAGCATTCGGATCTCTGCCACAATCCAAGGCAGCATTGACATGGTGGTTAGGGAATGCACTGGCAGAGAACCAACGAGCTGGAGACTGAAACTTGCTGAGAAATCACTAGGTGTTTGACACTTTTTAACTTTGAAAGTTATTGGCTCCATTTTACAGTCCTTTAGGGAACCTGGTCTAATTCACCAGTATTTCAGTTCCATGGAATGACGATATCTGGATGGTTCCTTTGATTAAGGAACAGAAGGGTTCTGAAAGGAAAATAAATAGTTATGTAGGTGCTGGAAGCCTATGAAAAATGAACTACCAGTAACCCAAGCATTTAATAGTTTAACATCAGAAGAGACATGATGATCATCTACCATGATCTATCTAGCATGTTTCCCTTATATTGGACCTTACTGTTTCAGATCCAACAACCATAACAATACTAAATACATTGCTGGGAAAAACGTCAGTCCTGATTTAAAAGTTGCTTTATAACCCTTGCTAAACCATCTAGTGAGTAATAAACTCAAAAATGCACATGCTTTCTAGCCTGTGGCTGTTTCATGGGTAGACACATGTGGATCACACTGGCCTATTTCAATCCTATTATCACAAAGAGAACTCAGCTGAGCTATTCTGACCTTCATGACAGTTGAAGTTAGTGTTTGCTGAGACACTTTCACACTTAAAAAAAAAAAAAAAAAAAAGGTCATCTTTCTTGTTTATAGGTGGATGAGTTTGAATTTGGCTACTAACACCACAGAGCTGTTTCCTTAGGTATAGCTTGCCAAGCGATTATGGGCTGTTACCAACCAGACTTTTTCATTAAGTAATGCCCCAGAAATGGTGGGTCATCTGAAAAAGCTAGCAGCAGTCCACTGACCAATTGCTGATAAACCTGTCAGATGGCAGAGATGAACGACAATCCTTACAGCATCCCACTAAAAAACAGGTGATGATTCACGACTCATGACTGCATTTTAAGACCTGTCAGCCATCCAGGAATACTTAATGCTTGCCACATTGATATGGTATCATTTTCATTTCTTAAAATATCAAATGGAACCAAATTACAAACAACCCTGTTATATTCAGTGTCTACTACCACTACTGTTATTACATGAGAGTAGTTTTAGTGACAAAGTCCAATAATTGCATTTATCTATCAATTTTATTTTGCAAAATACAGTCTATGAAAACACATATATTGGGATTTGCTATACTACCATGTTTTAACTCCTCATTTATTGAATCTGGTTTCAGCTGATTCTTTACTTTGTGTGAGATTGATGAGAAGCTGACAGGCCTATAATTGCTGATGTTTAAATACCATGACACCAGTCTACCCTCGGTCTTCTGAGTTTCCCATGAAAAGACCTATTAAAAACAACATAAGCAGTCCCAAGAACTCCTTCCAAAATATTTTTAATTATTTTTGAACAAGTATTTAATAAATGGCATCTGTTTACTGTGGCAACAATATTTCTTGTCTTTGTTCATCTACAAACATGATCAAAAATAGCAGTATTTTTCTCACGAGCTTTCAATAAAATTTGTCCTTTATTTGTCCTTGTAAAAATATTTTCAAACTGAGTTTCTAACACTGTTTCACCTTGTTGAAAATTAAATGAAATTTTAGGATTTAAAAAAAAAATCTTAAAAAAAAAAGTTACGATGGAAATTCTAGATGTGTAGAACATTCTTTTAAAAAGCCTTTTTATAAACCTCTGTGTGTGTGTGTCGTGTGTGTGTGTGTGTGTTATATGTGTGTGTGTGTGTGAGAGGTGAAGGAAAAAGGGCCACAAAAATCCAGAATTTTTATGTCTCATTTCAATTATGTTACAACTCCTTTTCAATTACTTTTTTTTTTTTCTTTCACAAACAAGCAAGAAAACAACCATCTTTAAGATAAATATAAATGCATTGCATCATATGGGATAGCAGATTCAGGAAGCATTTTTACACCTTATCAATACAGACTGCTAAACACAATTATCATTATAGTTTTGCAGCTGTCAGGAATCAAAATGGTCTCTTCTTCTTTGACAAACTATTACAAATTTTTTCTCCTTAACTATAACAATAAAAAATTGTTCAGCAACCACAGGGAAGATTGGATTCATTCATACCTACAGTGGTGTGCAGTCCAAAACACATAAAAACTGAGGTTTTAGCTTTTAGTGTTCTTGTCATCTGGTGGCATACATAATCATCTCAGGATAAGACAGCCTAAGAAAATTCCATTCTCAGTTGAAAATAGAAGAACTGAGCTACTGCATGGATGATGACCTACTAGTCACGTACTTTTTGTAACCATACTTCTCAATTGTTTTCTCCAAACTCTTTTTTTTTTTTTTAATTTAATTAAAGAAAATGCATGTAAAAATACAACAAAGTCATCCTCATTTAAATCAACTTTTCAAGGAAGAGAAGCTTCATTTGGATTACCACCATCTACCACGCTCTTTTACCCCAGACTTACAAGGCACTACAGCCTCAAATAGAAATAAGTATCACAATATAATACATTATTTTGCACGTTAACTCTAAGGACTGAACAATATATAAAAAAACCAGGTTGATACTCTGTCATACTTAAACAAACACTGTATTGCTGGAATGTATTTAATATAAATGCAAAGCTTCTTGGCATTCATCTCTTTAACAAAATAAACACCTTACAAAGTCAACAGCAGAAATACTCCAATATCTGCATTTGTTATTTCTAAAGAAAAATGGTTAATACTAAATCAAAACAAGTTAACTAGAAGTCAGAATGCTAGGGTTTCTCCTCATGTTAAGAGGGGATAAAAGTGCAGCTTCTTAAAGCACAAATTCAGCAGAATCAGAAGGTCTGCTTATCTACTCCACATCATTCTGTGCTACCATTCTGCATGTTTCATCTCCCTTTTCCAGACATTCTTCGTTTCTTCCTCCTGTCATCCTTATCTTAATTTACATGCAAATCCCACCAGAAAGTATACCAATTTCATCATGACGGGGTTAATGTCCCTTAAGTTTACACCAAGGACTACGTTTTACTTCAAGACCACGAAGTATTTATGTAATTGCTTAATTTAGACCTAAAAATAGTTCTGTTCATCTCAACAGGCCTATTCCCAGCCATAAAATTAAGCACACATTATGAGCAAAGAGTGTCTGTGCTCCGAGTCCATCTGTATTTGCCCTGACTCCAACACTCAGAATTTTGGCACCTTCACCCATCTCTGGTTGCCACCACTCAGTTCATCCCCTCCAAAACTTGACTCCATATGTGCTGTACCCATTTACCATCCATCTTCGTACAGTAGGCTTGAACAAGTTCCCTTTTCCTCCCAAGTGTCTGACTGATTAACTCACAAACAGCTCCTTCAAAGCAAATGCTTATCTCACCTTTAATTCAAGAGAGAATAGAAAAGGTATAAAAATAAAGCCGCCCACTTGCTTCCTTCAACTAAACTTTGATCTTCCCTTGACAGCTCTAAGTGCCATTCAGCTCCGTTACTCTGGGCTAAGAGAAGACAGCCAGGCTTTGCTTCGCACACACGCTGAATGCCTCCAGTTCTTCTCCCAGTGCTCACAGACAACGGGGACAACTCCTCTTTCTTCCCACCATCATCATCTTCTGAAGCATCTCCACTGCCCTTGCACTTAGAGCTGAGAGGAGCTTGAATGGCACTCCTCGGCTAACAGCTTTGCTCCTGTCTGAGAAACGTTAGTATTTTCCAAACTGTACTTAATGTTATCACTGTTTAACCTGCTTTGATTTAGCTGTATTTGCTCCATCAGCATAAAAACAGCCAGGGAAACTGTAGTACATATGATATTTGCACAAACCACACTAAAATCTAACCCCACCTTCTATACTAGGAGACATCAGACTAAAGTGAAAGATACACATGGGAACATACATGCACTCTTCGTCTTCAACTTCTCTTTCACTGTGATCAACCCAGACACTTTCACAAGCGAGGAGCAGGCTTAGAAAACATGCAACACTACGCTGATAGTGCTGTTCTAGCAAAATCTGATACTGTGTTTTAAAATGTGTGCGTGTATATACCAGACTCTTCTCCTAAATTAAGTTGTATTCTCATCTTTTTATGTCACCAGAAACTAAAACAGATGCCTTCAGAGAGAAGTGAGGGTGATGGCAGGACAGCATGGACAGCTACAAAAATTAGTACTTCTGCCATTCTGGAACCCAGGTTCTCCCTGCATGAAGGTACATGTCTAAGCAGCTGCGCATCATGCAGGACAGCATTCTTCAAAACTCATCTTCTCTCAAGAGAGCAAAGACTTTATCATGAGGACAATGTATAGGCTCTGTGCCATCCAGTTAGATGGGGCCAGGTCAGCTCCGAGGTTAGGAAGGAGAACCTTGTGACACAGATAAAATAGGCTATGTTATTAACCTGGGAGAGTGGGGCACTGGAAATCAGTTTTTGACAGCTGTGGGAAAACTAGGCAGATTTGGGATGGACTCAAGCTAATACAGAAAAAATGGCAAAGAAGGGAGATAAATTGTTCTAAACCAAAAGAACACACACACAAATAAAGCAGAAACTACAGTGGTGAAGAGTTATCATTCTTCTGTACTGGACTAAATCAAATACTGACATGTGGCCAAAAATTTCAGACACTTGTTCAGAACATAGGTAACTGTTGATCTAAGCAATCCTTCACTCTCCTCCAACTACTCCCCTGGTTTGGGAGCAGCCGGAGTGCTAGGACCCACAGCAGAACTGACAAGTTTAAAAGATGCATCAAGCAAAGAAGCAGTCAGAGCTTCCGTACATTAATGATTAAATGAAGAGTTTGAATTGTGAGTTGTTGAACAGAAAGACCCCAGATTCCTCAACCTTTGCAGTTAATCTGAGAGACAACTGTGCAGTTGCTCCACATCAGGCTGCTGACATAACAGCAGGTTTTTTCTGTAAGTCAGTTTTCCTTCTCCCCTCCATGAAGCTAAGCAAAACTTCCAACCACATAGCAAGGTCTTGTGAAAAACAGCTGGTCTTAAAGAACACAAGTTTGTTCAGCTCTTCTCTGTATGACATTAGTGCTGAACCCTGCCAAAAAATGGAACCAGGGGCACTAGTACCAACTGCACTTCACCACTGATTATTTTAGCAGAAATATCATACTACTTAAGGATTATGAGGAGACCTGGCCTGCAGCCAGAGCTCTGGAATGCAAGCCAAAACAAAATACCACTCCTCTCCATCTCTCTGATCTCTGACTGAGATTTACATTGTCTTCACTCATGTTGACAGATTTCTCTATCCACCTAGCAGGATATATGGAAAAACACAAATGAGAATATGTATTAGGTATGTCATGATATGGTCAATGTGGAGAAGAGGTCCTTTTATATTTCCATCGATATGCACAAAATGACCCTCTTCTCTGGTATCACAATACAGCATCCATTAGATTGTTCTATGGGGCAGCTAGTTGCAAGATTTATCTTTTTTTTCTTGAGGCTTCAAACAACATTTTTGGCCTGTTTTCTGTAGTTAAATTAGATTGTTCAGATATCATACCACAGGTTGCTCTCAGTTTTCAGATAGTTTTAATTTAACTCCAACTGGCACCTGGAATCATGACACTGCCCTTCTATTGTAAGAATGTTCTTTTTATCTCATAGCTACTTATTATCTGTTTCCTTCTGGAGCAGTGGCTTGCTGTGGGCAACAGCATGTGCAAGTCCAGAAGTCAGGAAATTATTTTTCATTTCCATTCTTTTTTTATACACATGCATTAAATGCTGACTTTTAAAAGATTCTTTCCAGTGCCGTCAGCAGCTTCAGATGTGGCCCTGAATAATGTTCCACCACATACTCTGAGCAAATCATTTGTTTTTGTGGTAATAATTACACCTAAAACATTTACTGATACAGGCAGCGTGTATATCACTCCTCAAATTGGTTAAAAAAATTAAATAGACTATTAATAAAAAAAATATTCCAACAAAATGGTAATATGTTCTTGATTATAATCATACAAGTTTATAATGAACTACTGAATGAAGAAAATAGCTCACTACTCCTGCCCTTGACACCTGTTGCTATTTCCTTAATAGAGTCCACAGAAATTAATACACTGATGATTGAGGTCTTCTGTGTCAGCCTCACATAGACCTGAACAAAACATTGAGCTGTTCTACCACCGAAATGCACTAAAAAAGTCTTTGTAAAAGAAAGCTTCCTTGGTAAATTACACTCAGAATGCCATTCCTTTTTACTCAATTGCATATACACAGCCAAAATACTTGCAGCCAGCTTTTCAGTTAACCAAATTATAAAGTGAAAAAAGTGTCAAGTCATTCACTTATCACTGAATGTGTTTCACATTCCTTCCAGCCTGTCATCTTTCTCACCTGCAGGCATTTCTACTTTTGCATATCACCTACGACTTCCAGCATTTCAGTAAAACAAACTGTGCCAAATTTCTATTTCAGCACAAGTTAAAAGCATAACCATATTCATCAGCTCAGATGTATTTGCCATTCAGGAGATGTATATTTTTATTAATTTTGACCGACAATGTTCCATTCAATCTCTGGGCTTAACGGCAGGCACAAATCCCACCATCTGCACTCCTAAAAGGTTCCTACAGCAGATCTGCCATATTAGCCTCTCTCCTAAACACAACACAGCATAAAACGTCTCAATCTTTTCAAACTGCACTATAAATAACCACATTTGTTTCATACCTCTCATAAACGTGGTTTCAAGAGACCATTCCCTTGGTAGTTTAGTGCGCGAATTTAAAGGGCCATAAAAATGCTGCGCCAGTGCGTGGGGATTTTAAGGTTAAACTAAACTGTGCTGCTGCAGGAAAGGTTAGTTTTACCCCTGCGGGAAGGGTCGCTGCGTTCCTCTAAGAAGGAGCAGGTCCTGGGAGGAGTTACACCGAGCGATTTTGCGCTGACGGGGGAGGAAGGTGCAGGCAAGAGTGCGAAAAAGAACTAAAAGCCAGACCGTGGCACGTGAGGTAAACGCCAGATTAAATTCAAGCAGGTCTTTCGGTTATTCTGACGAGGAGCCGGCTCTCCTCCCAGGACCCTGCGAGCTAAGAAGCGCGGCACCGGCGACCCGCCGTCCCCGCTCCGCTCCCGCCCCGTCGCTCCCGCCGCCCCGCAGCAATACTCTCGCCACAGCAAGTGCCGCGGCTTCGCCGGGGGCTCCGGGACCGACCGACCGACGACAGCGCGACCCTGCCGCGAGGGACGGGAGGGCGGCAGCCCGCCCTACCCACGCCGCGGGAGCGGAGCGGAGCGGGGCCCCGGCCCCCACCCGCCTCCCAACCGTCTCCTCACGGCCGCCTCAGAGTCTGGGTCCCGCGCAGGGAGCAGCCCGCCCCGCCCGCAGCTGCCCCCCGCGGCGGGACGCCTCATTTCTCGCCTCAACTCCTTCACTTCCTCAAAGCTAAAACCCGCGCTTCCTCCTTCTCCGCTCCCGCCCCCCTCCAGACCCGCAGCTCTGCCCCCGCCAGCCCCGCTCCCCCGGGGGCCGGCCCGCAGCCGGGGCCCCACCGCCGCCCCCCCCCCCGCGCCAGGCCTGGAGCCCCAGCCGGGGCTGACCGGCCGCCGCTTACCGGCAGCCTCGCCGCCGCAGGATGTGCTCGCCGCAAGGAAGCGCCTTCGGCAGGCAGCGGCCGCGGGCTGTCAGGCGCCGCCTGCCCAGCTCCCGCTGAGGGGAGACGGGCAGAGCTGCCAACGGACGTGGGGCCGGGGGAGGGGAAGCCACAGCAGCGCCTCAGGGCAGCGGCAGCGAGGGCGCCGCAGCTGGGCCGGGCCGGGCCGGGCCGGGCCGGGGGCAGCCCGCCGCCTCCTGTTGCTGCCCTCCCCGGTCAGGACGGGCCAGCCCGCCCCTACCTGGCGGGGGAGGCCGGGCCGCACACCCAGCGGCTGCCGCTCGCCGCCCGCCCCGCCAGCGCGGGCAAAAATAGCAACAGGCGGCGGGTCCCCGGCCCGGCGCAGGCGGAGAGGGACAGGCGGCCGGCGACAGACGGGCGCGCGTGTCGCGACAGCGGACAGCTGAGGCCCCCTCGCCCGGCCCGTTCCGTCCCTCTCGGGGAGCGTTTCGGCGGCGCTGCCCCGTGTGTCTGTCACAACCTCTCGTCCCCCGCAGAGAACGTGTCCTTGTCGCCTTGCCGCGGTGAGCCCAGCTGGACCGCGAGGTTAGCTGAAGCTGTGAGCACAGAAGGTAAGGCGGCAACCACTTTCAAAGGGAAGCTTGCCCACAAAACTGAACTAGCCCGGCACCTGGAATCCCAAGTGGGCAAGTCCCGCCTTGGGTCTAGGCCCAGCCCTGACCATTGGGCAGCCCTCTGCAGGTGTGAGAAGCCACACACACACAGATATACGTATATAAAATTACGGTAAAAGTTGGCAGTAGTTGGTCTTTCAGTTTCCAGAGAAGATAAGGAATGAATGGATCAGGAGACTTAATTACACTCCTCTGTAGTCCTGTCTGCAAACCGCTTTTGCGCTCAATTAATTTCAGGTCTCCTTGGCAGTAAGACCACTGATTTACTTACTTTTAAGCCTGCACGCATTTGTAGAATCAGAGCTTTCTCAAGGAAATTTGCTCTGCTGCTGCACGTGTGCTGTGCTGTGAGGGAAAGTCAAGTAAATTGTCAAATGCAATCACAATGTTGCCCCAGGTTATGAAATACAAGTCACATTTTGGTATGTAAGCACGTCCCATACTTGAAAAGTGTATGGTGGTTGTTTCTATATGGCTTTTTCTTTCTAGGTGTACTTTTGTAGGATTGTTGATATGTGAATCAAAGTATGAAGGCATCAGTTCCCTCAGAGCACTTGTTTCCAACCTGTACTCAGTTCATGGTTTCCTGCTTCTTCACACATGGGAATAGGTAGGAGTGCCTCTTGTTTCTGAGTGACATCCTTTACATGTTTTGGGAATAGGCATGCCACCTCTCTGCAAACCATGCCTGTCTTACCATCTTAAACCCTTTACTGTCTTAAACCATCATAGCTAAGGACAACACTTACTGCAGTTTTCCCCTGCCAACCTTAGTACCCGAGACAAGCATGTCCTTTCACTTGTTTTAAGCCTGCTGCCTGGGCATTGCATGCCTCTGGTAATCATGTTCTAGAAGATGGTGAGATGCAATCCCCACCCAGACAGCTCCAGCACTTCAGCTGGGGCTCATGCATTCCCAAATTACTAACCAATGATTTTAGGAAGACTTTTTTTATTGCTTCACCGTTGCCTTTCAGAAGATAATAATGAAACAGATAAGGATCCTACGAGACTATTTCTTGCTGCTTGGGAAATCCTTGAACAACAAGAGAAGGCAATACTAGACCGTCACAAATACAAACCCTTTCTTCCTCTCCTCTTTGATAGCTGGGAAAGAAATCAGACTGTGCTTGAAGTCATTCACAGGACCTTCTGTTATTTTTCCCGTTATCTCTGGCTCATATGTTTTAATTCTTTGCATAGCAGAGTTTTTTGTCAAATTACTCATGTTCTGATACAGTATTTTATAAACAAAGTGAAACACCTTGGGTAAGAACTGTGTTTAATTGATCTAATAGTTCCATTTGCTCCAATTTTGAAAAAAGTCTCCTTTTTTCATTCAAGTAAATATCAAATATTTCCTTAGGAGACAAAAAAAACCTGAAGTGTTTATATTTGACAAACACCTCGAAAAACTATTCAGGAACAGTCACTCGTTTAATTCAACCAATTTCTAGAATGCTTATTGGTAAAGTGTGGTAAAAATATAGTATATGAGTACCTCAAAAAGAAAGGAAATCTTCGTACAACATTTGCAATATTTTGTGATAATTTCATTTTATAATATTTTTCTTTTTAATTAAAACTAACTTAAAAATCCAAGTATTAAAAATACAAGATCTATCAATGGTTTTAGAAGGTGTCAGCCTGATGTCTGTCATCAGCTCAACGACAGATGAAAATGTCATAAAAATAACAACATATTACTAATGAGAAAGAGTGGAGAAATGCTCAGGTCACAGTAAGCATCTGGAGCAAACTCTACCATGTTTAGTTAGCAGTGTACATGTAAGTGACGGTTAATTTTAATGCTGGTAATACAGACTTAATACTACGACAGAAATCAAATTATTTGCAGAGAGGGTTTAGAAACAATGCACAAGAAAGAGTTTAAAGCTGTATCGGGTGAACCGAGGAGCATTTAGATATGAAAAGGCTTTGGTGTGACTGATGATAACAAGGGAAACAACTCTCATGGGACAAAAGAGTGCTTCTGAATAGCCATGTGGTAAAGCTGCAAGCGTTCAGCCTGCCTCCCATCAAAGTTACCGAATCATCTGCCTCCAGGCTACATTGGACAGCATTCCTTTTCTCTGCTTCTTGATGAAAATTACTTATCTAGGGGGGGAAAAAAAGTTTCACTTGTGAAAACAAGAAGGAAACAGGGGTCCTATGTTCCAGTCCATGTGTTCCAGGGACTGCAATCCCTGCATTCAGGTGAAAGCCCTGAGCACCAGACTTACTAATAATTTTCAATTTCTGAAACAGTAAATTTCTGTTCTTTTTCCCTTCACAGGAAGGAAAAAAATGTGGGGTTGTTTTTTTTTTTTGTTGTTTTGTTTTGTTTTGTTTTGTTTTGTTTTGTTTTTTTACAGTAGCCTATTAACTAAAACATTCTACCAGCATATTAACTTCTTCAGATTGAGGAGGAAAATCGGCCTGGGCTTTCCACATTCTGCAAACATGATCTATAAAAGAACACCAGGTATATCTTTGTCCAGTCACACTTTAAAAAAATGCAACAAAAACCCCACCACTGCCTTTTGTACAGAACCTGAATACACTTGTGCAAGGCACACTATGAGAACATGTGGGCAGTGAAGCCTCTCTTGTAGGCTGAGGTGAGGAAGCATCTACTCACTTGATCCCAGGTGGGGTAGGATTCTAGATCAGTACAAATTTAGGCTAAATGTGCCTGGCCGTGGGTGAGGGCAAAATCTGGGGCTGCTGTGACTGTGAATTCACCCTTTGAAGTACCATGAGGCAAACAGGAAGTTTTAAGTTTCCACCCAAGATGCTTTCAGAGTGCAAGTTGCTCTGTAACTGGGTAGCTGTTGAGCAGTTTTGGATTATGAATTTGAATGTGGGCATCCACATTGTGCTTCAGTTGCGTTACAATCCTCTGTGCTTTTCCCTCTGGATTATGCATGATGAATTTCTATTGCTATTATATAAAACAGTCTAAATCTTTATTTGTGATTTGTTTCATGTAAATCTGTACCTTATTAAGGTCATGATACTGTTTTGCAGTACTTTGACTTAAGTGAGCTTTGGATGAGGTACTACATTCTTATCCAATGACATTGTATCTCCAGATGCTATTTATATATAGTTCCAGACATTTCATAAACAAAATTTGAATGATGTTATTATAGCACGTTTGCCTACTTCATATGCTGGAGGAATGCATGCCAGTGACATTAGTTACTGATTATCTTTGTATACAAGAGGCTTTTTGTTATCGCTGATCATGAGTAGAGCATCAAGGAAGAGTTGAGCTACTGTTACAAATCCTGCCTGCTGCTGTCTGTGTGTGTTTGCACATTTCAGATGTCATGATTAATCCTCCCTCCCCTTCATTCTCAGAAATACGTTTGAAAATGACTTACCAGTGATTGTGTTATTATTTTAAGCTTTTCCTTTTGTTTGGAAGCTGCTGTTGCTATGCCATCGTTTATATTACATTTTATTTAGGTGGGTGTTAGGATATGATTGGACAGTTTAATAGGCTTATCCCATTATGCACAGTGTTCTGATGGTGCATGGCCTCATTTCAGTTACCTGGCAATTGCTATACAAAAGAGAAATGTTGGCTTCTACTTGGAAGTTGAGCAGAAATACTATCCTTGATGAATTTGTGTGCTTATATAGTGCAAAGAAGTACCATGAAGGAAAGCAATTCAGCTTTATTTAATTGCCTTTGATTACTTTTGTATTTATGGGCAAAGAACAGTTTTGTTGGTGATTATTTTTATTTACAATTAATTTTTAGATTTTTAGGTTTATGCATGGCATCCAGGTACCTTCAGCAACAGAATCCTAAAAGTCCCCACTCTTTTAAAGACTTATTCTGGTGCCTGACAAATGTTAATTTAATATAATTTTAATGTTGTTGTTCATAGTGACTGTTAAACAAGGATATAAGATTTGCTTACTGTTGGTGTGTCAAAATAAAACCCACCATCACTGGAACTTTGAAAAGCTGTCACGAGCAGGAAACTTCATTTACAGAAAATCTGTAGGTAAATTAGTCACAGATTTAAGCACATACTTGTACAATATGAAAATAATTGCTTGTATATTAAATATTCTTTTGTAGTGAATTACAGTTATCCTTGTATGATTTGTTCTTATACAGCAAAAGTCTCAACTAAATCATTCTGAAGCTCAAATATAATACTTGTGTTTTTCCTAATATGCTGTGGAATAAGTTCACAGCCTGTAAGGAAGATGAAATGTATTTACTTCCTTCCAGCCAAACTGTTTCTTAAAGTTTACTGAAAAAAAAAAAAAAATTAAAGGTGGATTTAAGTTGTCAACAGTAAAAAACCCAATAGCTTTCAAGTGAAGTCCATTGGTCTACTCTTAAAGCGTTACTATGTTTTGGGGGGTTTTGGCAGGGTTTTTAGTACTATGCTAATTTCTCAGTCTATAGGCATTTCCCTCCCAAGCCTCTTAGGCATGATCCCGTATAGGACCAAATGTTTACAACTTTCTTTGGAATTATGTGTATTCATCTGTTATAAAAATCAGGCTCATTTTACATGGTTTTGGTAACTTAGGGATGTGCCTTTCTCTAGGGATAGTCAGAGATCAGAGATTCCCTTACACTTGAGTTCGGGCCAGACTGCAAGCATTCTTTATGCTAGTCATGGCAATTCCCATTTCTGGGTAAAATATTAGTGCCTCTGCTCCCAATTCAAGTCTGGTTATTCACAAATTACATTTGTCTGTTGTTTTTAATGTCTGTCCTGGTACTAATCATCTCTAAATTTTCTTCATTATCTTACACAACACTTTGATGGAGGAATTAGACTAGCTAGGAAGAAGCTGTAGCTTAACACCCATTCCAACTCGCAATACTAACTTCTCTCTTTGGTGTACTCTTACTGCCTTTGTTTTGGTTCTTTATTTCAGTTCTGCATCCTCTTTCTCTGATGCAAGACAAGGTTAGTAAATACTCTAGCAACAAGCTTCATCTTGTAATTCTGTAGTTTGTTGTAATTGTTCAATCAGCTTAATAAACCACTGTGTATGGTTTTTTTGTCGTACACACCCACCCACCCCATCCCACCCCTGCCCACCAAAGTTGGGAACTCCTGTTTGGAACAGAGCAGGGAATGGAGCAAGTAAATTCCTTGTCCCTGGAAAGGCAGAATGATACAGATATGATCTTGACCATATCTGTACAGTTTCTGAGGATGCTCTAAAACCATCTTAAGGATGCCTTAGTATATGTTAGCTCATTGCTGACCCTGCTGCCAGACTTCTAAAATACTTGCAGAGTTCTCCAAGTGCATCTACTCAGTGTAGAGCATGCAATCTCTCATAGGCCTTTGTGGTATGGCTATAAAGGCCCTTCTGTCTTGCTTTATACCATATTCATCAGCTTCATAAGACCTTCTGTATAACCTAAAGAAAAGGGTTCTCAGCCTGATGACAATAAATCACAGTCTTGATGAACCACTACCTGATAGAGGTAACCAGTTTAGGGGATCAGTGAGGTGGAAGATGAGAGAGGGATGAGGAGGTCTAAATGTCTGAACAAGGAGAATGGTGCAGACAGTGACAATAGGGGCAGCAACATCATCATGGCCCTACTATTAGCATGTTAGCAGAACCAGCCAGGCAGCCACTCCTCCACCCCAGCACTACCAGGGGCTGCCTGCTCCTAGGAGAGATGACATCTCTAGGAGTTTTCCAAGTAGGTCAGGAGTAGTAATTAATGCCTATAGATGATCCACAATAATGGCAACAGCCCAGCAGAAACCAAGCCTGTCACAGGAACCTGAGGGGTAGACCAGGCCTTCCAATTCTCCTTAGCATCCCTCAAATGTGAAGCACCTTGGCAGACTCTGGCCAAGGCTGAACATGGACGGCTTTCCTAGAGAGAGGAAACATTAACACAGTCCAGATCCAGGCTTAGTATATAGAGGCAGATGTAAAATACACATGCCTCTCTAGCCTGTGGAGATGTTCAGATAAATACAGAAAATAATAAAAAAAATTCAGGACCTGTAACCCTACTGTCTTCAGACCTTCCCCATGATTTCAGTAAAGCATCCTTTACCACATTCTGTAACAAAAGAAATGTGAGATCTCCCATACTATAAATGAAAATAAACAGAATAATGGAATGATTTGGGTTGGAAGGGACCTTTTAAAGATCACCTAGTCCAGCTATCCTGCACTGAGCAGGGACACCTTCCACTAGACCAGGTTGCTCAAAGCCCCGTCCAACCTGGCCTTGAACCCTTCCAGGGAGGGGGCAGCCACAGCTTCTCTGGGCAACCTGTGCCACTGGCTCACCACACTCACAGTAAAGAATTTCCTCCTTGCATCTAATCTAAATCTACCCTCCTTCAGTTTAAAACTGTTACCCCTTGTCCTGTCACTACAATCCCTGGTAAAAAGTGTCTTTCTGTGTGTCATAAGCACCCTTTATATATTGAAAGGCTGCAGTGAGATGTCCCTGAAGCCCTCTGTTCTCCAGGCTGAACAGCTCCAACTCTCTCAGCCTTTCTTCATAGGGAAGGTGTTCCAGCCCTCTGATCATTTTTGTGGCCCTCCTCTGGACCTCCTCTAACAGGCCCCCGTCTGTCTTGTGCTGAAGACCCTACAGCTGGATGCAGTACTCCAGCTGGGGTCTCACCAGAGCAGAGTGGGGGTGGAGAATCACCTCCCCTGATGAAGCCCAGGGCCACAGGTTTGTACAGATTCACAAAGCTTCCCCTGCCCCAGGTATAGCTCATCAGTGCCCAAATTGAAGGCACTGATCCAGCCTGCCTCCTGCAGACCCGTTCTTCTGTCTGTGCTCTCCAGCTTGGGGCACCACACATCTGGGGATCTCACCAGCTGAGTAACACAGCTGGCCTGGCCAGCCACAGGGTTGGTAGCTTGTGGAAAGCTATTTGCTTTGAAGTTCAGTCTGCAATGCAGTATGAGAAACCATGTTTTGCAAGGGTGACCTGTGGCTAAGTCACAAGCCACATGTTCAACTCCACCACGAGTGAAATTCAGGTACAGGCCCAACATTCACCCTTCCACTTCTTATGTAGCCAGTACCTTGAAATATGGCCCCTTACTCTGTTCTGGGGACCATGTGCCTGTGTCTCTCCCTCCTCCCCCCAACCTGACATCAAGCTGGACACAGGCATGGACATTCAGTAGTGTATGTGCCAGGCTGGTAGCGACAGACTGGTACCAGGTTACAGTAGATAACTACCCAGAAGCCAAAAAGCCCAATGCCACCACATAAAAAGTGCTACTCCTTGAAGAAACAAGTCATAGCTGAATACGAATAGCACATGCATCCCTCCCATCATGATGCTCAGAAATTCCTTGAGCTGCCCCAGAGGTTCCTTCCCTGTACCCACCTGCACAACTGGTACAACCTTCAAGTTGTATTGAAAATAACAAGGATAGAGAATTTGACTTATGGGAGGATAATAAAGCTTTAAAGTTTTGCATTTATAAAAGGTATGTTCACAAGTCATAATTTACAGTTACCAAACCAGATTCCATTTCCTCCGCAAGCTTCATCCTTTTACTTGTTCTGCCAGAACCAATGGTGTAGCTGAACATGACACCCTACATCAACTATTATCCCGCACACACAAAAGACAGCATTCCTTCAAGGGAAGATGTTCCACATAGAAAGGCTCTTACTGGGAATGGAAGAGGGAACAAATTAAGGTCAAGTTAGGAGAATCAGGTGCCCAAATTTTCCATTCTGCTTCCCATCCTCCTGCTCTTTTCTTACAATCAGTGTGTAAAAGAGCAATAGCACATGGGAGTGATTTCATTTCAGCTTTGGTCTCCTACTCGAATACAGGAGTGCACAACCTCCACATGCTATCTTAATTTAATCTTCCCCCTTACCTGCTTCTTTTCACATCTCCCTGCTGCCTCTTCATAAATAAAGTAAAGCAGGACCTCATGCTGTGGGGCAGGGAAAGAAGAAAAGAGGAACCTCTGCAATAGAAGGGTTAGGGAGCAGTTGATAAGGTTCCTGCTTAATTTCTCTTCTTGCATCTTGCCACATTGAAACTTATCAGAGAAACCTCAAAGACCCAGGTGCAAGCTTTTTTCTGTGATGTATCAGCAACATTTCATACTCTGGTCTCACAAACTTGTACCACACACCTATTATTCCAGGTCTCGGGCAGCAGATCCTCAGATCTAGCATCACATGTACTGAGGAAGCAGAGGAAATAGAACAAGGGAACATCTACTGTTGAGAAGTACTTCAGATTTGGACTATGTCAAAATCTAAAGTTGTCAATTTAATTCCTTAATAATAATAGTTCCTTGTTTTCATGCCTCTTCTTATGGATGGTCTTGAAATCTCTTCCCATCTCAGTTATAGATGGTAAGACATGAGTTGGACTTGGAACTCTCAAAATACTTCCAGGGACAAAAATAAGATGACAAAACCCCAAATTTTAAAAGACTGGTAATGTTGCTTCATATTTATGAAAAAAATGTTTCTTTAATCAGAAAAAAAAAACCCAAACAAACTGATTAATAGACTGTTTTGCCACAAGGTTGCATAGGAAGGGACTGGTGGTCTGTTTCAGTGTCTTAAAAAGTTCTACTTTCCTTTTGAGAATCAGTTCAGATTTACAACATGCCAAAGGTACTGGTTTAGCATACTTAACATGCATTAAAAGAAGGCTAAAATGCTGTGTATTTATTTTAAGCTTTTAATTTGTCCTTAGCTTTTATTTTCAGAAGGAAAGGACAGTGGGAGTTGATATGTGCTGAAATTTCACACAGTGTGACAAAGCTGATTGCACTGAAGTCAATACTGAGATTCCCTTCACAGTTATTACTACGTTCAGTAGCACCTAGGGTCCTATTTAGGAGTATGGACTTCATTATTCAAGGCACCAAAAAAACATATATAAATAAAAACCTGTCTCATCTTTGGTTTAATGTAAGAGAAATGGAAACAGAGAAGTGGAGGGTGTCAAACAGCACTTTCTGCACAAACTAATAACCTATCTTTTTAGCTTTCTGCTCTAAAGGACTAGGATTTGATTAACAGCACACTCTTGTTTCCTCAGTACCCTTCTTATTACTTTATCTTATAGTTAATTTTCTATGCCACACAGATGGACCTCAATACGAATGATTCAGATGCTGCCTTTGACTCTGCACAGCCAAGAAAAACTGACGTGACAGCCAGAGAATGCAGGGACTACTCCTTGTGTCCTCCAGTGATAACTCTGAAGTCTGTAAGGTAAAAGCAGGCATCCGGTGCTCTTTGCTTACCATCTCAGCTAACGAGGTAAGCTCGTATTTACTGGGGATGGAATGGCAAGTTTGTCCTTTTATGAATAATTTGCTAAATTTGATCTATGTTCAATCTGGCAACTAGTCATTCTCCATGGGATACCAGAAGTAATTCTGGCAAAGAGGTTTCTTTATCCAAGAAGGACTGGGGCTGGTAAAGCTACTGAAAATGCAGAAACCCCTGGTATTAAAGTCAGCTGGTAACCTCCAAATAACCCTCTCAGGCTCTGCAAGTGCAGACAACAGCATGCAATAAAATGGAAACTTCTGCTCTAAATTAGACATGAAGAGTTCTGCATTGAGTCACAGCAGCATACAGTATGACAGGCTCTGAGACTGGGATATGCATTGAACTAATTATGCTTAGTTCAATGAGGCAGCAGAAAAGTGCTGTATATGTAGATACATTATCTTCATATGCTCATGGTATTAAAAAGGCAGTTTAGTACACTTAGTGTCTCTAGCCTGGTATATGATGTATAGTCCCACAGCAAATAGATCTTCAGCAAATTCACTGTGACTTTCTTGTTTATTTGGGCCAAAATCTCCAAGGATCACTATTTCTGAAATATTTGCCCCATGTTTGTCAAAGTCTCACAACAGGCTTTCAGTACTTCCTGTTAATAGAAGAACTTGCTTCGCAAAGCTAAACCTAAATAAAGTTGCATATTATTATCAGAATGCACACACACACAAGAAATAAAATTATCCACAAAACAGGCTGCGTTTCAGAAATCAGGATATTACTTATAATATTTAATTAAAACAAGTTTTGATTGAAATACATTTGTAGTCAACTTTAGTTCATAAACTTTTAGTTCAACTGATTGGGGTTTTTTGGTCCCTTAAGGGTAAAGGTACTTTCCTTCCAAAGTAAGATACTAGATCCAAGAGTTTCCAGAATAACTCTTAATAAAAGCAGAAGTCTTTTTAGTCTGAGTTCATGAATGTTTGGTCCTAAGAATCCTTACTTCTTAAATAATGCACTTCTAATGCTGCAAAAAACAATTAAGGTAGTAATTTTTCTATTTTACTCAGTCTTTCGTTGAAGATTATTTTTTTCTGGTTGAAAGAAGTGTTTTTCAAGAGCGTTGACCAATTCATCTAGTTCCTTCTTCAGTTGCTCAACATCACTGAGAAAGAAAATCCACAAAAATACAGAAAACAGTGTCACAGTGTCTCACAATGCTAAAAAGCACATTTTGAGTCTGAGTAATTTTTATGTCTGTTGCATTGTTTTCAACGAACTTCTATTAATGCTAAGAGTATATATACACTTGATTTCTTATGGTAATACACTGATGTTCACTTCTGACAGATATGCATGAAGGCACTTAAGACTATGTGGAAGCATAAACCCACAATATAATCTAAAACAGAACAGCTAGTCTGAGTTCAGACTACACTTCCACTACTAAGTGTATGTGATTAGAAATGTAACTTTTATACTTGTAATAGTATTTCCAGATTAATTTTCATCTGTGAGAATGCATTATTTTCATTACATAAGTTAATAATTGCTTATCTTTAAAACTATATGATTTTCAAGGCAATCAGTCAATGATATAGTTACTTAACATAAAAGGGTTTTAAATATATTAGAACACTTTATACATAGTTATATAAATTTAAAGCAACTACGTATGTAAAAAGAGTGAATATATCTACTTTCATTTAAGGCAGAATGTTTTGCTTGATATTGCTTTTACTGAATGTGAAACCAAGTTCAAACGACTTCCAGGGACAAGAATATATCAACAAATTTTGCAGAATTGAAGCTTTATGCAAATATACATGCTAAAGTAATGACTGTAGTCATGTTATTTGATCACAGAGAGCCCCTTACCCACCAAAACAATACCAAAAAGCCCCACAGCCCCCATTACACACGCTTTACTGCTGTAAGTGACAATACCTGTTTCCAGGAGGTGCACAAAGTTCAGAATAGTATTTGATCTTTGGTTCCGTCCCACTGGTTCTCATTGTGGCCACTCCTCCATTAGCAAAAGTGAATGTTATCATTTGGCTACTTTTACTAGTGGGAAGTATCTAGAAATAGTAAGAATAATTTTTTAGAAGCTTGGAAAATGGCTCTATATATTGAATTCAAGACAAAACCCATGATGATGTCATACAATATAACTAAAGGATCAGCTAGAATTAAGCTTTGTTCTGTTTTCTTCATCTCTGTGGTTTTGAGACTACAAGAGGCAAATTACAGCCTTACCCTCAGCCTAGAATCTGGTAGCAGTACATTGCTGCTAGGTAACTTGTTTTGAGTCTAGTCAACATTTTTACTGCAAATAGAAATTGCTCTGTGGTGGCATCTCCCAGGAGGAAAAGAAAACATGGATTGTGGAAAACTAAAGAACCCAAAGCCACATCTCAGTAGACAGTTTAACTTACAAGAAAATAATTGAAGATTGCTGTAGCAAGACAGCAGGATCCTCCTACCTCTCTTTACAGACTGTCATCTTGGAGAGAAAAAAACAACACAAAACCAAACAAAAAACTGCAAGCCCACTCCCCTCCCCCAACCTTAATTTCCGTCCACCAAGACAAAACAATCAACCCCAATCTAATTTATTTTTAAGAGTTAGGATGTAACACAATGTTTAGAGCGTTTCTCCATATTTTTTTATATGTGCATATATAAACTTATTTAATTTAAAAAATACACTTACAGCCTTTTGATCTGGCTGGCTGCTGTCATAACCAGTAGTTAGATCCCTTATTCCAGAAACTTTAAATCTACCACAAGATTTTGGGTATGTGTTTTTTCCATCAAAATTTCTAAGGTTGTCAAAAAGCTGTTGAATAACTTTAGGATCATGGCAGATGAAATATGAAGCTTTGGTAATATGGAAGCCATATCTGTGAAGACACAATATGAATGAACAGAAGAAGCAGTGTTCTTAGGGTTGCACACCATACACATTATATAGCCTTCTATAAAGCAAGAATCTGTACTCATGGTCACCCAACTGTAGCATCAGTTCACCCCCTTAAAGTTTTAAAAAGGGCCTCAACAGCTTAATTGTCCTGGTTTACATACTTTAAAAGAAACTTTTGTACAGTCATCTCTTCCTTTGAATGATTAAAAAATAGAAAGTTTACTGATAAACCAGAAGAAAAAGAGATCTAACCACCACAGGAAGAGAACAGACTACATCTAAATAGCTTCTTTGACTGGATTCCAGCTGACCTTTTCTGAGTAAAACAATTTCCAGACAATTTTTTTTCAATCACACGTTAGAAGCTGCTCTCCCATTAAAGTGTTTCTACTAAACCCAACTGTTCCAAACGTTGCCTCTTTACCTGATCTGTTTGCTGCCAGGTAATATGATACAGAATCTGCATCAAAGACAAATGACCTACTAACACCAGCTTTTCAAAACAGCATGTTAGTGCAAAGCATACAAGCCTGGACTGGTTGTTTAAGTGACCTCTTACTAAAGATCAACACTTGATGAGTATCCTTGGTGCCAGGGAAAATCTGAAGAGCAGAATCTTCCGTTAGTACTAGGGTGTTCATCCTAGAAACGTGAAAGGTTCCTTAAATAGAGTCATGTTTATATCAAAATGGACATCTGAAGGTCAGTAGTTTTTAAATCAGTGTTAAGAGTCCAGCAAGGGAATTTACAAAATCTATCCTGTATTTGAAAGAAGTGATGAGCCTGCTAAGACTGTCCTTTTCCTGATCTTCATTTACTTCTTTGAGAACAGATCCCCCTTCTATACCTCCAAAATACAGATCAGAGTTTCTTCTGTTTCAACAGGAACTCACAAGACAAATCTGATGAAGAATAAAGTAGTAAGGAGTAGAAAACCGCAACTCTGTACTAGCCACAAGGAAACAAAACACACACATACAAAATAACTCCCCAAAATAAAATAGGACACCCACCCCCCCCCCAGTTCCAGTTATGAAGCACTGATTTAATAAGGCAGATTTGTATCCTTCCCAGTATCTGTAGCTTGTCCACAGACAGTGACTATCTGCAGTGACATCTTACTTTGAGGTGCATCTACAGACTGCTTTTATGATAAATAAGCTCTCCTCTTCGGTGACTATGTACACAGTTGCGCTGTGGCACAGCTGAGTTCCACTCAGGTAAATATTCTGTTTCTGAGGGCAACCTGAAGCAGGTATTTACTGAATGAGTATTCAAAAAAAAAAAACAAAAAAAAACCCAAAACCCAAAAAAACAACAAAAGCATGAGCCAGAGAAGAATAATTCTTTGAATATACACTTCCAGCTACTAGTAATTAAGGGAATTCTCATATCAGATGCTATATTTGCAGATGTAGGCATTAATTCCTCTTCCATGCATTTATATTACTGTTTACTTTTGCCATGTACAATAGCTGATGAATTCCACAATTTATTTATGCAGTGTGCAAGTCTTTGCCACTTGATTCCTTCCTAAACAGCAGATGAAACAAGCATGGCTAGTGCTGCATGCAAATGAGAGATTGAAGGACAAGAAGCACAAAGGCTGGAGTTTTCCATGAATCTCTTTGCAGGTTCCACCACTCCTTTGTTAGTGTCTATGTGACATGAAGAGTTGGAGAGTATCTGTCAGCCTGTGCACTTCCCTCCTTTAAAACAAACCACCCAAAACCTCCACAAAAAACATTCCCTGCCCCACGAAATCCAATAGCCATCTTTGCTATTGATTTCTGTAGGTCTTTGAACACATTAAACAAGAACAAATGAAAAGTAATGCCTCATATTAAAAGCTCTTAGAGAGATACCCAGCTGCATATAGCTAATAGTTATGGCCCAACAGTCACAACAATTCTGCACAATCAGCTCAAGTCTCAGTATTCAGGAGCCAAAAAACACCCAACAGATACTACCAAAAAAAAGACAGAATAAAATAATAAAAAGCCTTTCTCTAGAGGCAACTAGAATTAATTTAATCACAAGTAGCCCTGCAAGT